CGGGGAAGGGGGAGAAGAACGAGAGAGAGGGAGAGAGAGAGAGAGAGAGAGAGAGAGAGAGCAAGAGAGAGAGAGAGGGAGGGCGTCAGGGTGTATCTGATGCCGAGTTTGGTCCACCAAACTCGGCGTCAGATACTCCCTGACACCCTCCTTCTCTCTCTCTCTCTCTCTCTCTGAACCTCTAACGAGAATGAATCTTCCTCTTTGTCGAGGAAGATTCATTCTCACAGGGCACGTCTGATTTCCCTTCTTTCTTTTTTTTTCTTTTGCTGAACGTTGTATGTAATTTTTTTTTTTTTTTTTTTTTTTTCGTGATGTCCTACCGGTTGTCCGAGGCTCGGCAATAAAGTCCGAGGCTCGGGAACGACCGGGCTACCGGTAGCCTGAGCCAGGGGCCTTAAGACCCGCTAGGTACTGGTGGTTTAAGTTTCGCAGGTAAAGGCCATGTGCTGTATGTTGCTTTGATAACGATCATTGGCCTCTGTTTTTTTTAGTACGAAGCTCTGGGCATTTAACTTTCTGGCGTCAGTAATGGACGATGGAAAAATTGAGATAGCCAAGTGGCTGACTTAAATGGGACACTCCATTGAACCAGATCTCATCAATAGGTAAAAGCTCGGTTTGGGCCAAAAGGAGGAGCTGATACTTTCTGCCGGTTCGTACCCTGGTCTAGGGCTATCAGGCCCGAAGCCGGCCGATTGTTATTCAGACTACAAATCAGATGGTCTCTAGATCTGTGTTCTGTCAGGTCTTGACATGGGCCTAGACTCCCGCATGTCTTCTGTATGGGATTTGAACCTCCCAACAGTAGAGAGCCTTGGTGATAAATACCCGACCGAGACCCAGATTGTTCTATCTTGAGAAGGTCAGGGACTGGTTTTGTAGACGCAAACTGGTTGGGGGGAGGATAAGATGAGCTAGCCTGTCTTTCGTAGCTCAACTTTTTTGACTTGTGCTTCAAGGTGCATTTTGGAAAGTTGGGTTTTGAATGGGACACTGGGCCCGGTTTCCAGCAGGCCTTTTATAGATTGGTTGGTTAGTGCTGGACCCTGCTGGTCTGATGCCCTCGAGCTGAGCTCGTAAGCGAAACTGGCTGAGGCTGCCAGATAACTCCGGGTTGAATTGTGAGGTCCCCGGCCTCGCTCCATTGTTCTTTTGCAATATATCATACAACCTTCCAAAAAAAAAAAAAAAAAGA